ACCTCTCCAACCAACATCGGTAGCATTAGAATTGTAAAGAATACAAATGCTCACACTTAAGTGTAAGAGAGGAACTCACATCCATGGAATAATTTTACAAATTATTCAATTTAAATGTTATTAAAATAATAAAAATTTAACATTAAAAAATAACAAATTATTTAAATATTTCAACAATTAAATATCTCAAATAAGAAAACACTAAAAATAGCTAAATAATTATATAACAAAATATTTAATATTACATAATAATATTAAAATAAATAAAATTCAAATAATAAAAAATTATAATTGTTTACATATTATTTAAAGATTTAAATAACGAAATATTACCATGACTAAATTTTAAATAGTTAAAATAACGAAATTATGTAATAAACTTAAAAAAAATCTTAGAAGTATAAAAATAATCATAATAGATTTCATAATATTCATATTAATAATAATTTAATATTTTACAAAATTAATGATTAATTGTGTAATAATAATACTAATTATAATTTTACAGATTATTAAATTCAATAAATAATTAATATTTTAAAATTTTAAATTAAAATATTATTTAAATAACTAAATAATATTGTAAATAACTAATTTCACTTATATTAATTAATAATTATAGAAAATAACTTTCAAAAAATAATATTCATTAGTAATAACTTTACAATAAAATGTATATTCATTATATATTTATATATACTAAAATTAATATTTTTTATTTTCAATAATTATTTATTGGATTTTTGATAAATATGTTTTCAATAATTATTTATAAATCTATTTTTTGTTTTTTTATTTAACAATAAATTTTCAATAATTATTGAAGATTAAACAAATATTATTTAACTTTTGAAATTTAATTTGTCATATTTATTATATTTTGGTTATAAATTTACCTTTAGTAATTATGCATTTTTTATAATTTATTGATTAATATTTATAAGAGATTAAACTATTACTTGAGATTACACTTTTTATTGACTAATTTAATATATTTTCAGTATTTATTGTAATTTTGTCATTATTGTATTTTTGTTAGATATCTATTGTATTTTTATTATAAATTTATGTTAAATAATCGTGTATTTTTTCTATAAATTTTCAATAATTATTGAATATTAAACTATTATTATTTATTAGAGATTAAGACTATTAATTTATCTGAAATTATGAATGTTCAAGAATTGGTTAAGTTTAGTTGCAGTTTGTTTTGCCAACCAAATCGACCAAGTTAGGTAGGGAGTTTGTCACCCGAAACCAGTTGACCATTAGTTAAAACTGCCAAATTGGGTTGTATTAGTTTGGGTCTGTTTTCGGTTTGGTTTGTTTGTCCAAAAGATTTAAACTTAAAAATTAAATTTAAACTTAATAATTGATGATGGTATTATTAAAAAATAAATTTATGATATAAAATATTTTAGACTAAGAAATATGGGAATTTTTCCACTTTCCCGTATTAAAAAATTATATTTAAAATTATATATATATATATATATATTTATTTATATATATATGGTTGAGTCGGTTTACAAATGGCCAAATTGAAACTGACCTAACTTGGTTGAGTTGGAAAATTGCTAAACCAAAGCCGATCGGAAATACTATAAAACCAACCAACTCGGGTTGAGTTCGATTGGATTGGTTATTAAAAATTTAAAATATAGAATAATTATATACTTCTATGTATTTCTATTGTTTAACTTTTGCTTAACAAAGCCTGTGCATCGCACGGGTCCCCGCTAGTTAAATATATGACAACTATAAAAATCCAAATCCAAACTAGGAAGGTTTTTCTAGCCATGGTTCAAAGTATTGATGGTGATTTACAAAAATCACATATTACGAATTTTCAACAATACATACTCCTTTTTTCAATGTATTTTAGTAAATTTACATATGAATGAAGTTGGCTAGGTGTAAATTTGGCATTTTAAAATTTTAATGCATTACATCAGCATTTTTTATTTGGAATGCTAACGAAAGGAAAGTATTTACACCCTTTTCCAAACAACAGGGGAAGTTTTTGTTATGGTCTAAACCCAATGGAGTTTCATAAGATTGTTAGAAAACTCAAGGAGGTTTTTATAATTTTTTATTTTTAAAATGATTTTAAATTAATTAAGCTATATTTACAACTTTTTTTTTATTTTTTGTTTCTATTAATCCTTATTAAATTTAATTAACTATATTAAGTTTTTATTTTTTCAAAGGAACTTGAGTTGGTTTTAAATTAGTAAAATTAATTATAAAAGTAATAATTGTTGGATATTTTTGTATTAATTCTATATTAATTTTAAATTGGTTAGTTTTTAATTTATCTTATTCATTTTAATTGATTAAATTATTTTTATATTAATAAAATATTTTATCAATAACAATAATTAAAAAATAATTTTATTTTACTTAAGTAACTCACTAAATTATTTTTACTATTCTTAATTACTTTTTTTTTATTTTCAAATGAAATATAAATGCATTGTAGTTTTTATGATGTTTTATTAAATGTTTTCAGCTTGTTTTTAACTTAGTTGAACCATTGAAATCGTCAATCGACCCTATTTTCTATTTATGGGTTTCCTAAAATCTGCCCTATTTTGACCTATGTGGTTTAACCATTTACCCTTTTGACCTAGACATTGGGTCACATGTTACAATATATATATATATATATATAATGTATTCGAAACTTGTAAGGGATTTAACTTTGCGTTCAATTGTTTGATTAATGATGCTTTTTTTTATATTTTGGATAATTTTGCACAATCTTTGCAACCCTACTATACCAAGAAAAAAAACTCAATTGTTGACATCGAATTGCAATTTTTGGCTCTTATATTTATAGAAAATTTAAAAACAAATAGACCTTATATTCTACATATATGGATAGATGATGTATCATGGTTTGACTCATTGATCTGGACAGTTGAACCATTAACCTATGACCTAGAGGCAAAAGTTATTCAACCTCCAAGTTAGTTTTTAAAACATCGATTTTATTTTTGAGTGAAGCAAATAATATTTATTCTAAAATGAAATTACTTGATTTATTAACTTAAAAATTAATTATTTTTTAAATGGAAGTACATTATTTAGCCTAATAATATATCATTGAATATTTTTATTTCAATATAATTAATCTTTATTAATAATTATAATTTAATGTACATAAAAAATTATAGTTAAATTGAAATGGATATAGATATATATAAAGTTAATGAATTTTAATAAATTTAATGCAATAAGATAGAGAATTAGTGGCATGAGTAATTGAAGGAAAGAGTTAATGGCATAATTAATAAGAAGAGATAATTAAAAGAGTTAATATAAAGTTAATTTAGAAAGTTAAAAGTCTTAAAGGTGATTTGCCACTTGAGTTATTCTATTTAATTTTAAGTTAAAAAAATCAAAACAACTAGGAAAAAAAAGATAAGTGACTTTGAGAAGAAACCAGAATGTAGGAAAGTGTCAACTTGGCACATTCCATTTTAATATATATAGATATAGATTAGAGATGTTTCCAATGCATGCTAAGATTTACATGTAGGGAGCAGGCATGCTCTCTAAGTCTCTAGCCTAAATTCAGCATGCTCTCTCAGTCTCTAGCCTAAATTCCTATAAGCCATCCTAAGCACACACTCATGTCATAAAGCTTTTTTAAGTATTTTGGTAGCATGCCATAAAGAAGGAATAATGCCATGTTTGGGAGTGCTCAAGTTAAAAATAAGTGCTTATTGAATAAGTGATTAAAAATAATTGCTTATTCGAATAAACACTTATTTGCATTTGGCACCCAATTTTTTCAAGTGCTTATTTTGTTTTTAAATAAGCACTTATTTTAGATTGGGTATTTGGTAGTCTTTTTCTCTAATAAGCACTTAAATAAGCATTTCAAAATTTCAAAATATACCCTTTAAAAGCACTTTTAATAAATTATTTTTATAAAAATACTTTTATGAAAGTACTTTTATAAAAACACTAATAAAAGCACTTTTACGAAAGCACTTTTATAAAATTATTTTTATGAAAAACATTTTTATAAAAACACTTTTATAAAAGTACTTTTACAAAAATACTTTTATGAAAGCACTTTTATGAAAGCACTGTACTTTTGTAAAAATGCTTTCTTAAAAGTGTTTTCATAAAAGTATTTTTATAAAAGTGCTTTCATAAAATTACCTTTATAAAGTTCAACTAGGGATAATTTCATAAGTGTTATTTTAAAATTCAATTAGGGATAATTTTGGAAAAAAATTGAATAAGTGCTTATTGTATAAGCATTTAAAAAAGCTGGAAATTTGGGCTTAAAAAATAAGCTCTTATTTTTAAAATAAGCACTTATTTTAGGCTTATTTCCCAAATACCAATAAGTGTTTAATGACCCAAATAAGCATTTATTTTTAAGCACTCCCAAACATGGCCTAAGTCATTCAATTTAGTTCAGCCACGTCAGCTGTTTTCAAACAGCCACCCATTCGATGGTACGTACCTCTACTAGTTAAACGGTAAACCCGGCTTGACCCAAACCTATAGGGTCAGCCGGTCAGGTTAGGAGTTTGATTCTTTGACCTGAGTCGGATTTGGGAGAGGTTTGGGTTTTGGCTGACCCACCCCCGCCAAAGTTAAATGAAAAAGTTAACACCTTAGAATACAATTCAAATATCACTATATCACATTGTGGCAGGACAAACTTTAGTTGTTGGGGCCAACAATCTATGCTTTTGAGAGAATTTTTGAAAATGCCACAGAATGGGTAAATTAATAATTACATTTTAATTTATTTTGACTAAAAACAAAATCATGGGTGTGAAGTGTGAACAGGTGAACTGCCCAGAACGTGCCCAGCCCAAAACTGTCTCAACAGCCTATGATGTGGTATGGGGTTGGACCCTATAGGTCGGGTCGGGTTAAGGTCGGTCCAAAGCCGTTTCGAACCCGACCCGTTGACATCCCTCTACAACTACAATTTCTGCGCTAATAAAAAATAGGGACACATTGCAGAAACTAGAAAGGAATAAGGAAAGGCGCTACGGTCTGAAAGATTTTTTTTTTTTGAAAAGTGGATAACGTTCCCCCCTGCAGCAGCTCAGTAGCCCATTGCTTGATGCATTGTTCACTGACTCTCCACAGTTGAAGCTCCACTGTAAATTTTATAGGGAAAATCAATGATGATTTGAATTCTTCTCAGTCTCCTCTGTATGGCCTCTCTTCCCCTTCAGCAGCCAATCCACTCTTTCATCTCCAATCACAAGGTCAGTTAGCAATATACTTCAATCTCTCTCTCTCTCTCTCTCTCTCGATAATCTCGATTAATGTTTGTAACCTGTTTATCTCTGTTTATCTGAGATAGGTGACTTGTTTCGAGCATGGCCGCTCACTACGACCAGGCCATTCTTTTCTCCGCCTTCGTAACAACAGGAATAACATTCAGCCCATCAAAGCTACGACAGAGCTGCCTCCTTTCAGATTATTTGAACCTCCCAAGGTCGAAGAATCACCTACTGAGGTATACCCATCTCTGATATTTTCTTGTCTTTTACTGTTTCGGGGTTTGCTCATCAGTTCATTGATGTTCATCATTTATTTAGTTGTTTTTAGGCATACCTATTATGAACAAATTGATTGTAGTTCTTCCTTACCAGCGGAAGCATTTTGTTTATTTTCTTCTTTCTAACTTCCGCCCCAAACTCAATTTGTGTAGCTGGAGCCTGCAGACCCTGATTTCTACAAGATAGGCTACGTTCGGAGTGTTCGAGCTTATGGTGTGGAATTCAAAGAAGGGCCTGATGGATTTGGAGTGTATGCTTCCAAAGATGTAGAGCCACTTCGCAGAGCCAGGGTAATCCTTTTTTCTGTTTCATTTCTCCTACTATACTGATCCTTTAACAAATTGTTCGGTTTTAGTTCAATCGCCACATTTTTCTACTATAGCTTGGTTTCTTTGGTTTTGGGTCATGGTTGGAATGGAATTCCTATATCATATATGATATTAGTAGTTGTTTACTGAACTTTACAGGTTATCATGGAGATTCCATTAGAGTTAATGTTAACCATAAGCCAAAAACTTCCATGGATGTTTTTCCCGGATATTATTCCAGTGGGTCATCCAATATTTGATATCATCAACTCAACCAATCCGGAGGTAATTGCATTTTCCTTGATATTATTCCTTCAAAGATAAAGGAAGAAAGAAGATAATGGCCTTCAATGCTTGATAAGAAATGTGTTCTGTTCTTTCACTAATTTCATGGGCTTGTCATCTTCAAGTATGGTTGATGGCCTAATATGCTTTTTAACCTTTGATTCTCATACTGTGTTGTGACAGACAGATTGGGACTTGAGATTAGCATGTCTTCTTTTGTTTGCATTTGATAGGGAGGGTAACTTCTGGCAGTTGTATGGTGACTTTTTACCAAGTGCAGATGAGTGCACTAGCTTGCTTCTTGCCACAGAGGTATGTTTAATAGCAGGATATATGATGACTATAAATGATCTATAGAATTGGATGCAAATTTTTCTGTAGTTTGTTCTATTCAATAATGTCTTTGAAGTTTGAAACTTCATTAAGAAATATGTCCTGTGGTAGTGGTTTGTTGAAATATGCTAGCTACTTCTGTTTGAAGTACAATTGTCCTTGAAATGATAAAACAGAAGGGCATATAGGGATGGATATGTCTTATAAATAAGTTATATATCAATATAAACATATTATTGACAGTTGAAAATAAACTGGAGAAAGTGGAATTTTAGTATCCTAAATAATCTTCACTGTCAGGTGTCTCTAAACTGGTTCTGAACTTCTGGTCAGAAACTTATATCCTTCTCTGCTATCCCTATTTACCTTTAGCAACAGATTCTCTTAAAAGTTAAATCATGTCTTTCCAAATACTCCTGCACCACCACAATCTACATAGTTTTTGGTCTCCCCATTGCACATCTATAGCCTTCAAACATGCCAAAACACTCCTCAGTGGTTTCTATCATCTGCTTTTTAAATGTAAAGGCTATAACAATCAACTCTCCCTTGTTTCATCATGGATTTATCTACTTAAAGATTCTGTTGAACACTCTTGTTCTTGACTGTCTTAGTGTATGCAATTAGCCTTCTAACCACTACAGCTTATTTGATATCATTACAATAATATGTTGGTTTGGTAGTCCTACATTTTACTTCATATAGCAGATTTATTTTCACTAATCATACAAAAACTTTCCCTTAAGTTTGATTGATATGCTTTAGAGTTTCATTATATAGTGTAGTTGTAAATCTCTATGCTATTTACTCTACATGCCACACTCCTATTCTTCCTTTCTTCCCAAATGGTCCAAAAGTGGTTGCCCTTGTACACCTTGATAACACCTCGCCTCTTTTACTTGATGGCTTGAAAAAGGAATGGCTGAATAAGCTCTTAACATGAGGATTCCACCTACAACCAAACAAGGTGCCAATTCAATGTTGGGAAATAGTAGAGCAACTTGTTGCCTACAGGAAATGGCTTTTCTTATACAAAAAATTCATGGTGATTTAATTTTATTAGATATAAAACAAGATGCACAACCCTGCAATACAACAACTGAGAGCACAGCCATTATTCTCTTTCTCTCTCTCTGTGAAGATTATATTACATTTGAACCCCAAATAATTGATTTCTAGTTATCCCTTGTTTGGTTAGTATCAACCAAACTATTTGCTGACCTAGGTACCCACTGAAGTAACTTGTTAGTGCCTAGTCACCCATGAAAATTTCTTGAGATCATTTCTGTATGACCAAAGTGCTAACAATTCAGCAGCCATCCAGCTACCATCTCTGTGTCACCTTCAATTCTGAGTTTACTCCAAGTTCATTTCATTTATTCTCTACAGTCCTTGAATAACTGCATTAAGTTCTGCTCTTATTGAGTTTCTATTTTTTTTTTTGATAAATGAGTAAGATTTTATTAATATAGCAAATAAGAGTTACAAGCAACCCACCTAGTAACATTGCTATCACATGTCCCTTTTCATCTCTAAACACCCTACCCCGGGCGGCCCCAGGCTCCAGAGACTACTGCCATCAAAAATAAATTTTATGAATCCCCTCTCTGGGGGTTCCCATTCTCTTTGTATTAAGACCTACTTAGGTGATGACCCAGCCACTCCCCCCCTCCCCCCCTCAAATTTCTAGTAATGGCATTTGTTAAGAAAGATGAGAAAACATCCATGGTCTTAATCCAATGTGTCACAGTGCCACCTTCTCTGGGATTGCTTATTGTAGGAGAGGAATATGCAAGGAAGAAATTCAAAGAACTGGAAGAGAGGTACCCAATGCCTCTGAAAGAAATATGTCATGGCTTGAAGGCACTAACAACGAACAGAATTCTGTTGGACTTGCAACGGTCAACAATGATATTGGTGAAGCTTTGGAAGCAGATCAGCATTTTGAGAAGAACATGGTGTTAGAATTGGAAAGAATTAATGAGAGGATTAAGGATCTATTGGAGATTGAAAGGATAACCTTGCACTCAGAAGATTCAAAAATCAAAAAAAGCATCAACCTATTTTGATGTCAAGTGTCCTTGCTAAATTAAAAGGAGGAATATTTGGGATTGGACCAAATAAAAAGGTGATGAAATACAGGAAAATCCAAAATAAGAGGTAGGCATTTCTACTTTGTTCCTTTCAGGCTATTTGGTTGGGAGACACTTGATGGGGTTTCTTTGTTATTGTTTCTGTTTAGGTGATTGGTTTTTGTTTGAGTTTCTGTTGCTGTCAAGAGTGAATGTGGGGTGTGGTATTGTTTTTCAGTGTTAGCTCTGGTGGTTTTCTTTTTTCTTTGCTTGGGAGGATGGGTATGTGGGGTCTTTTTTTTTGTTTGGTTGGTTTGTGAGTTGTTGATAATTGGGTGGGTTTGGAGTTTTTTCTTTTCTCTTTTGGGTGACTTCTGGTTACCTTCCTTGTACTTATTCTTTTTTATTTTAACATTCCTTTTCTTTGGCCATGCAAAAATTGATGAGCAAACTTGTTTTCCTATTTTCTTTTTCCAATGAATCAACTTGTTTTCTCAGTTGACATAGAAACTGAAAAGAAACACTAGAAGTGATTTATAATATGAAAAATCAAACATTAAAAGTAGAATTGAAATAATATTAAAAATGGTTTCATGGACCTGTTAATTTGTGGTTGGTCCTGCATTAATACTTCTTCTCTTAAGCCCAGGGTGTGAACAAATCCTTTTTTCTGTCCATAATCTCTGGGATTCACTAATTTGTTAGCCCTAACTTTAACTAACTATGCTTAGTTTTTTTTTTTTTTTTTTTTTTTTAATTTTTTACTGCAGGAGGATCTCCAAGAATTGCAGGATGCAAATCTGGCATCAAGTATGAAAGAACAGCAACACCGTGCATTAGAATTTTGGGAAAAAAACTGGGTATAGAATGGCCTATATTCCATATTTTATTTATTAAACCTATTTCTCCTTGCTTTCTTTGACGTTGCTTTTATTTACAACACTTCAATGTCAGCATTCTGCTGTTCCACTTAAAATAAAGCGTTTGGCCTGTGATCCTGAGAGATTCATTTGGGCATTGAGTATTGCACAATCACGATGTATTAGCATGCAAATGAGAATTGGTGCACTTGTCCAAGATGCAAATATGCTAATTCCTTATGCTGGTAAGCTTCAACTTATAATGTTTGAAGGCTTTTTTTTATTGACTACATGGATAGTTAATAAATCAGAAACATTATTATATTTTTTCTTGACAATTATTCATGCTTAGATAGTTTCAAGTTGAGTGAGTTTTGTGGTAGTTTTCACATTCATTCATCACATCCCTCTCTGTGCTCGATCTGTAAAATGTTGCATGGAGTATGTATATTTCATTCATAAAAACCACATGCAAGGATTATGAGAACCTCTCTCTCTCTCTATATATATTTGGTTCCAATAATGAAGTGTGTTGCGAAATATAGAGGGAGAAAAGAAGAAGATTTTCTTTATTGATGATAAAAAACATAGAGCATACACCTTAAATAAGAGAAGATAGGAAAGACAAACCCCTAGAATTTCTCTCGAAAAGGGATTGACTAAATCTTTCCCTTAATCCTAGGATATGACTTTCCTAAATTTATTCAAATATAATCTTTCCTAAATTTATTCAAATCTCTTAATCAATCAAATCATATCTTTCTTAATTTGCCGCAAATCCTGTCTTTCTTAATTTGCTGACACTCCCCTCAAGTTGGTGCAAAGATATCTATCGTGCCCAACTTGCTAACTTGAAGTTCAAATGGCTGTCTCAACAAGCTCTTAGTCAAAACGTCTGCAACTTCTTGTGTGGTTGGTACAAATGGAGTGCAGATTATTCCTTCTTCAAGCTTCTCCTTTATAAAGTGTCTGTCAATCTCAACATGTTTAGTCCTGTCATGTAGAACTGGATTATGAGCAATGCTGATAGCCACCTTTTTATCACAATACAGTTTCGTAGGAAAGTTCACTGGTATCTTAAGATCTGCTAGCACCCTCTTTAG